GCAGCTCAATGCTGTACTGACTTCAACCACAGCAGGTCATCAACTATTACAGCAGAAACACCCAGCAAAAGAGCAAGTCTAAAGTTGAACACTCAACTTACATGCTATCTGACTGCAAATACACAAAAGAAATACCTTTCAGCCGACCTTGAATTTTAGGAGCTATTTTGAACTTTCCAGAACTTCAAGCCCTTACACCACTATGTAAGCCCTTAAGATAATAGTTTCATTTAAAATAAGTTTTGAGTCCCACCTACTGATAGTTAGCTGCTTAAACAAGCATTTTTTCAAATTCTAGGTAATTGAAATTTCACCCTTGTATCCTAAAGTGCAGAGTTAAATTCCCAAGAATTGCACTTACAACAATAACTGCCATTAAGGAAAAACATAATAAAAGAACCATGACACCCATTTCCAGTTTGAATGATGAGGGATCAGATTCATACACAGCTACAAGTCACCTTTGGCAAACTACTATTTACTAAAGCATTACTACTGGTTTTGTTGTTGACTTTTGCACAGCATTATCTGATCACATTTAATCTTCAAAGGCTACAGTGAGAGCACTTGAACAGGACACACTCCTGCATATTCTCACAAATTAACCTAGAATATTCTTAAGAGAAAAAATCTGGTTCACATGAGAAAAAAAATGAGTTTTAACCTGTCAGTGTTGCTAAGGGTTAAGTCTTCCCTGCAGTGGAGAAGTAAACTCCTGTGCAATAGGTCTGTATTTACTTAGAATAATCATCTTTTTCTTAGCAGCTTCCATGGGACTCTCTACACAACTTTAAACTCATGTTTTCATATTTGTGAAGAGTTTGAAGCACTTTTCAAGCTTCTTAATTTGAAAGCATGGAAGTAAGAAGCAATGATTTTAGTAGGAGCCTACTTAAAAAAAAAAAAACAAAACCAAACCAAACAAACCCACGCTCACTCATACTTTGCATTTCCCAAAAAACCACATTTTCACACCAGGGAAGCATCACAGATGACATCTCTAGAAACCCATGTCAAGATTTTGAAGGTCAGGAACAGAAAGGCTTCCCTATGATCAAGAGGTAATCCTAACCACACACGCAACTAAATTGTTCGAGTGGAAAGCACACAGCATTTCCGTGACATTGCACATCTTCTGACCTCGGTCACTACATAAGTCTAACCTTAAGCTTAGGCAGGAGAAGTGAGCCACCTAAGGGGACAATAAACAAAAACTTTATTATTTACTTCAATTTGAAAGTAAGCAAGCACAGCCAATATCTGACTCCCAAAGTCAAACATACTTCAGCTACAGCAGAACACTGAACAACGGCATTACTCCAACAGTTGTGTTGCCCCATCTTCCACTTCTACCAGCTCAGCATGACTGCTCATGGTGAGCTGGATCTGGCAAATCAATCCTGCTAGGAAATAGTGTGGTAAGATCAATTGTTTGCTTTTGGCTAAATTAGGGCCCCGATCTACCTCCATGTCCAGCTTAACACTGATGTATAAACAGTGGAGAAAATGGTGCAAAGACAGGCTTGTGCCAGCAGCACGGCGCAGACAGCCCCACACAGCCAGGCCTTTAGAGTAATTTCAATTTCTAGAGGCTATGAATATTAAAAATTATTTATCACAATTCCTGCCAAGTTCCACAGCCATAACAGAGCACTGCACTGACAGTAAGCTCTCATCTTCAGATACATGGGCTACAGATCAGAAAGACTGGCCTTTGGATGGTAAAACAAGTGTAACACTGTGGCTGGAGAACACGGGAAGGGTGTTGCTGGTGGTTTGTCTTCCTGTATTAATAACTGACATTCTTCCTGATCAGAACTGTTGCCAAGGAATTTATAAATGCTGACTAACTTAAATCTCTTCCTTGTGGATAGAAATTTTTTCTTTTGCTCACAGACAAAAACCATCAGGAGAAGGACCAATGTCCCTTACACAGAAAGGTAAGGGTAATCTTTATTTAAACCCAGTGATTTTCAAACTGAAGTAGTTTTTGCCTAAATGTTATAAAGCATTGCCAAAGAGCGGACTGGCTATTTAACCACAGCTGGTAAGTGCAGCAGCAAGAGAGCAGCCTTCCCTAGCTGTGTTTTCTTGAAACACTAACACCCAGCTTTCTGCTCTCTACTCCTCATGATACACAATCATGTGGGATTAGAATAACAACTGTACTTGGATCACTTCCAGATGCTTCAGCTCATTATGGAAGCACAGGCTGGGGGCAACATTTATAAGACGGAGCGTAGTACCATGACCATAATTTAACACCTGGAAAAAGAAGGAATTACTTAATTATCATGAAAGGTGTATATATATAAAAACTTGAATAAAAATATACTTTGATCCAGAACGATGACACAGCCTGAAAAGAGCAATTCGGTCCACCCAGTCTCCGCAGCCACGCTGTCGCTCCGGCTGCCCCAGAAGCGCCTCTGGGACTGACCGACCGCTCGCCCCCTCCCCGCGGTGCCCCTCGGGCCCTGTGAGTGCCGCGCACCGGGCCCTTCCCGCTCTGGCAGGAGCCGCCCCGCGGTTCCCGGACGGCCGCGGCGGCGGGAACCAACATGGCCACCCCCACCGCGCCACATGCGCCGGCCGGGCCGGGCGGCCGCCGGGCCGACACACAATGGGCGCCGCCGGGCCGCCCAACCCGCTCCCGCCGGGCCCTCCCGGAGCCGCGACCGCGCCCCCCGCACCAGGGCGGCGGTGCCGGCACAGCCACAGCCCCGGCCCCGTCCCCGCGGCCCCCTCCCCCGCCCCAGCGAGCGTGCGCTCCTCGCCGGCCTCCCCGGCAACCCGCCCGCTCCGCCAGGCGCCCGCCGCGGCCGGCGGCGCGGCGACTCGAGAAGGAGGAGGAAGAGAAGGAGAAGAAGAAGAAGAAAGAGGAGGATGCGGCGAGAGAAAGGCGAAGGAGAGGCGGGCGGGAGAAGGGAGCGCGGCACTCACCGGCTCCACCGCCGCCATCTTACAGCGCTCGGATCGCCGACGCGCCGCGAGGCGGGGCGGGGGCGGGTAAAGGCCGTGGACCGCACACGATTGGCCGCCCGGAGGTCACGTGGAGCCGGCGGCCGTTTGGGGCGCGGTGCCCGCCGGGAGATGTAGTCCTCCGGCGCGGGGGACGCCGGGAAGCCCTCCTGCTCCCGCCCGGGCAGGAAGGGGCGGGCGGCCGAGGGTGGCGCCCCCTGGCGGCGGTGGCGTTCGCCCTTGGGGAGCGCGGGAGCCGGCTGGGCGCTCGGGAGTCGCCGGGATTCACATCCCCTGGTCCCGCGGCCACACCGGGAACGGGCACGTTGGGACTGTCCATGCAGGAGGGGGTGGCTCGTGAGAAGTGGTTTTAGCTGCCCGGTGCTCCCCAGGGAAAAGCTTCCGGCATAGTAGAACTTTCACTCAGCGCAGACGGGCACGGTGTTTCGGGTCACGCGCTTTGTTTGTTTCACTGAATTTGATCTTTTGCCGATTCCACACTTAATTGACTTGTCACTCCGGGGACACGGCCGGTGACCTTGGCTCACCAGGCAGAAAAAGGTAGCAAACATGAAATCCCGCTTCTTCCCGAACCTGATGGACAGGAGGTACCTGCATTTGGTGTCGGGAATGTCATCGCATCCAAGGAGCGAGATTGCCCATGTCTGAGCGCGCTCACACTTCTGGCAGGGAAGTACGGGACAGCAATGATGAAGCCAGGAGGTGGGATGCCTTCCACACATGGGGAAACAGGAGTTTGTAGGATAAGGGAAAAGTGAGAGGCACTTCCCAGAATCACAGATTCAATTAGGTTGGAAAAGACATCTGAGATCATCAAGTTCAACCTACGACTAAACACCACCCTGTCACCTAGGCCATGGCACCAAGTGCCACATCCAGTCTTTTCTTAAAACACCTGTGGGAAGATGACTCCACCACCTCCCTGGGTAGCCCATTCCAATGTCTAATCACCCTTTCTGTGAAGAAATTCCTCCTGATGTCCAACTAGAACAACCTCCGGTGTAGCTTGAGGCAATGTTCTCATGTCCTGTCTCTTACTGCCTGGAAGAAGAGACTGATCTCCACTTGACTACAATCTCCTTTCAAGTTATTGTAAAGAGCAATAAGGCCCGCTCTGAGCCTCCTTTTCTCCAGGCTAAACAACCTCAGCTCCCACAACCACTCCTCACAGGACTTACCCTCCAGACCCTTCACCAGCTTTGTTGCCCTTCTCTGGACTCGCTCCAGCACCTCAATGTCCTTGTAGTGAGAGGTCCAAAACTGGACATAGGACTTGAGGTGCGGCCTCACGAGTGCTGAGTACAGAGGTCCTGCTGACCACACTATTCCTGATCCAAGCCAGGATGCCATTTGCCTTTTCAGCCACCTGGGCACACTGCTGGCTCATGCTCAGCTGCTGTTGACCAGCACCCCCAGGTCCTTTTCCACTGGGCTGCTTTCCAGGCACTCTGCCCCCAGCCTGCAGCGCTGCATGGGGTGGTTGTGACCCAAGAGCAGGACCCAGCACTTGGCCTTGTTGGACCACATTCCATTGATCTCGGCCCATTGATGCAGCCTTCCCATCTCTTCCCCTCAGTTCCCCAACTCGGTGGGAAGCCGTATGTTGGCAGAGGTAAAATCACATAATGGTTTATATTGGAAAAGAACTCTAAGATCGAGTCCAACAGTTAACACAGCACCACCAAGCCCACTCCTAAACCATACCCATAAGCACCACATCCACATGTTTTCTGGTGATTCCACCACTCCCCTGGGCAGCCCGTTAAACCAGGTAATCCCAGCCACGGAATTCAGTTCAGTGTTATGATTTGATTTTTGTTTGACAAAGGCAGAGGGTTCAATAAAGTAATACTTCATCTGCCACCTCACATCTCTAAAGAAAAACACAACAAAAATATATTTAAGTTCTTAACCTTTTATAATAATAAATACCATAACAGTTTTCAAAGTAAAAGAACTAGGACATATCTTTCTCCCAGCAATAAAACAGAAATTGAGAAAGAAAATATTTCTCCCTAAACTGTATAATGTTAAATCATGTTATGACAGCAAAATAAGAACATAATCTATTACATTTGTACATTCAGAAAGTACACCAAGACATGCAGCAGCTTTTTTCTTTTGTCCAGTGACATACTGTCCATTTAACCCATTTTATACAATTTGGTTTCTGCTAATTCTTTATAGGTTTTTTAATGTGAATAGAGTAATTAATAGGTCTTCCTATTTATTTCCCAGAATGGGGAATGCCAGATGGATCTGATATTCCATTTTACTTGTTTGGCAGCCGTGCACATTCTTTGACTGCCTGTTTTAATCCTGTCTTTAAGTGTCTTAACATAAATAAAGATAATCCACCCAGAATCGTCTTCCTCCCTGATAATTTTTTCTTCAGCTTCTTCTGTGTTTAACTTTCTATTTATATTCTCAATGAACCAAGTGCACAGACCTAAATTTTATAGCTGCGAATGTCATTTTACTGAGAAGAACTATAAATGAGTGATAACAACCAAATCAATGAATGTCATATAGCATTTGGCTATTTCATGTTTCTTATGCAACACAGGGCTAACAGCATGAAGTCCCTTATAAGACAGCTATGCTTATTAACAATGTTTAATTAGGTAGATGAATATAGTATTGCTGAGTTCAAAACATGGCCTACCTTATTGCCATGCAAATACGAAGTAAGTACGTGTTGTGATTTGGTATCTTTTTCTTTGATTTCTTGAGTTATGGAGGCACAAAGCAGCCTCTAAAGATGACATCAGAAGTTATCCAACAACTTACGGTAGCAATGAGAGGATTATGAGCTACTATAATCTTTTCTTCAAGTCACTACTAACACACGTAATAAAGAAGATGCTCAGAAGTAATGTGGCTGCCTTGCAAGTGATATCGTCTTCAAACTAAAATGAAATTTAAGATAGAAGGCAAAGAGGTATCGTCAATACAACCAGAAAATCCCACCCCTTGAAGTTATAGTGGAAAAAAAGAAGGGGCTGAAGTAAAGAAATGCTGGATATCTCATCTTCAGGAACCCTCACACACTTCAGGGATTTATCAATTTCCAGTGTGAATTTAAGTAGTTGTTAGGAACATCTGCTTCCAAGTCAAAGGTGTGCAAGTACAAGCTCTAATTGAACTGCACACCTGTATCTCACTGGTTTAAGTGGAAATGGAGCAGGCCCTCACATCGGTGAGTTAGAATCATTGTATTTTATGTGATTAAAAATCTGATCATCTTAGTTTGAATTTGAAACCTGAAAACAAAAAGAATTGTTAATGTCTCACAGTATTGTCCAAGATATCTAAAGTGGAAACAAAATACTGATCGTATTTTGCTACTTGAAAGTCTATTTTTAAGGCCTTGATTCTGGTAACACAAACTGAGTGAAGTCCCTGTTGGTATCAGTAACGTTCCTGTTGAATTCATTGGACCAGAACTTCACTCTATAACTTTTATTGTGCTTCCATAGTAAAGAATAAAATTTTTCACCACTTCAAGACACATTCATGGATTCTTTCAACTATTACAAGCAGTGGACTTTCTCTCTTTAAAGCTTCCAACTTATTGGTTAAATAGGAATGCTTTTTATAAAACACTATTTTGTTTAAAAAGATGTGGCTTGTTTTCCTTGGATCTTGTCCCATTATAAAACAACCGGTTTCATATGCATATATTAGAAAATGCCAAGATTCTTGGATGCCAAAATAGTGCTCTTGAATGCAGAGAGAACCATTCTTAAATCACAGCGGTAATTTTGATGTGCTATATTAATACAGATGCTGCAAGAGGCAGTGCCACTTGAACAATCAAAACAAAACAAAAGAATGTGCAGGATCTTCCTTTTCACCACAGCTAAAGCATGCTTGGAATTAGCTTTAAGTAAGGCTGCTACAGACTGGACTGTGGCTGGAGTGGGCCTTTCAGTAGTTCAGTTTGCATCTGCACCAATGGAAGGAAAAAGAGTGATGCAGGGGCTTAAAATATATTGCAATGCCTTTTGACTTACAGAATTGCACTTAACCTGAAATCCTTAAAGAGGAAAAATGGAGACAGGTATTTCTTTAATGCAACTCTGTTCATTTACAAGGATGTTTACAAAGAATTTTTTTTTTCCCCTCTGGTCATAGTAAGACTGTTTTGCTTTGACCTCAGGTTTGTCTTTTGCTCTGGGTAATGTTTCCTACAGGGCTGTCTTACTTTTTAAGATCATGCTACATATATTTATGTGGCCATCTTTGAGACATTTGTCTTTGCACTTGTGATGGTTTTGCAGTTTCTCTTTTTTTACATGCCCATACAGACATACACAACCTAGTAGCTGTTGCATTTGGTATGAGAATCTCAGTAAGTGCCAAGCCACATCAGTGCACATTTGCATGTGATCTGGCTCCTGGGTGGTATTTTTGCATTGTTTCAGCTATCGATGAACAAAGAGGCATTTAATTGTGTCTTCAATGAGCCTGAACAGAACACAGCTACAATACCCAGGAGCTTCACTGGGAAAGTGGGATTGCCCAGCCCCCACTACTGCACTGTAGAGAAGCAAAGGGGGGGAACCCGAGCTAAGGCACTCTCTTAATTAAGTAATGTCAAATTCAGTGGCCATTTTCTTCCTAAGCAGCAGCTGTCTCAGCTGCCAGCTGCTCTGGCTTTTTTGCAGCAGCCATCTGACCCATGAGACATTGCTGACCTCTCCTTCTGCCCTTGTTTGCTTGCCTTACGCACTCCCAGCCTTGCATCACTTTGGAGAAGTTGGGAGGACAGCATGGACATAAATCAAGGATCATGAATGGGCTATAAAATTTCTGACTCATGTGCCTCTCTGTGCATTTGTCTGTGACACAGGGGGACAGGCAGCTAGAAAGTGACATGAAAAGCCTGACAGATTAAAAAGAGCTCTACTCAGGGAAGGTCACAGCAAAGATCAGTGAACTTCCCCAGTGAGAATGAGTGTGCCACCAGATAATGGGAAGTGTCAGTGGATGGACCTCCAGGAGGTATTAGTCGGTTCACTTAGTAAATCAGAAAATCAAGGCCAAATTGGAAAACAAAAGCATTGAAATAGCATAGAAACCACATAATTTTTACTATGGGAATGATGATACAGGGCTGTTTAAAAACGATCTCAACAACAAATCTTAGGTCAAATCTGCCAGAGCTTGTTATTCTAGGTTGACCAGCAATTGCACTCTGTGTTCTTTCCAAAGACTGAGGAGGACAAGCATGCAAGTTTGCTAATCCCTCAATTAGGGTGCTCACAGTTCTTTAAATTACATATATTTTTAAACTGTTTAATTAATATAGGCATCCTTGGCTTTTCTAAGGAAGCGGGGAAACAGTTTGCTTCGAATTTGCAGAAATAGAACAAATAAATGAAGCTGAGTAACAGGAGGAACCTTGTCTACTAGTTAGAGCAGGAGTCCTCTTTTTTCCTAACCTGCATCATTGTCGACCACTGCAAAATGAGCACAAACATATACTGACATTGTCCCAGCAAGGATACTGAAAGACAAAATAGGAATATATTGTGAGGTTATACTCAGATATGAATTTAAATGTGAATTAGCTGCTCATAAAATTTAGTAAAGTATCCTAAATTATTAATATTGGTTATACTGAAATCTCATCGAGACGCAAGTGATGACATTTGAGCAGAAGACATTGAACTAGATCAACCAGTATGCTTCAGGTTTTTTATACCATGTCAGTGTCACCAAGTACTTGCAAACCCTGCTTAACCAGGTAAACAATGTCTGCAACTCCTTAGGGTTCTTCAAATGACACAGAGGCAACTAAAGTGCACAAAGGTACCTGTCCTACATTGCTTGATAGCTTTGTTTGTTGGTTACTTGGAAAAGGAGCACTGATTTTTCACAGTAAAATACCTGCTAGCAACATGGGTCATTTAAAAGTGATTCTGCCAGTTCAGTAACATTGTGCTTTAAGAAGATTAAACTAAGAACTTAATAATGTGCCCTTTAAAGATATTTGATGATGTTGGTTGGCAGCTGGTTGCGTGTCTTCAGAATTTGGACATAAATGCTCTCATGGCATGAGCTACATGAGTCAGTGTGTAGCTATTTTCACTCGGTGAAGAAAATAATAGTTGTAATCTTTACATTTTTCAAGCATCCTAGAAACATTTCCTAATTCACTCCTTCTACAAATGGTAGTCTGACACAAGTATTATCAATACTAGAGAAATGAAGGTGAGAAATGTCAGAAACACAAGTAGCAACAACGCTTCAGTAATAGCATGGCATCAAATTCCTTCGGTTATTTGACCATGCTAGTGAAAGCGCTTATCACACAGCAAAACAGGGTCAGATCCTTCATCTGTTGCTGTGGTCCTGTAGTCAGCAGGGCTACTTAGCCACTTTTTGCCAATTAACGCTGTCATAAGGTATCAAGTATATTTATATGAATACATTTATTCTGACAAAAGAATAAGACGTATACTTTTCTGTTCTGGAAAAGTAGAATTTTTCACTTAACATCTAAGCCTAGGAGATAAAGAGCTTTTTTTATTATTATTTGTTAAAGATGGGGCCAGAAGACCACAGGGAATAAAACAATTGCAGGAAATACTGAGATTATAGTTTGGACTTTGAATCACACTTTCTGGGGATTTATGTGGATTCCAGGAAATCAAGAGAATATTTTGCGTATTAAGTTCAGAAAAAGGATTGGTGTAGTTTCATTGAAGTCAATGACATTGAAACAGGAAAAATTTCTTCATGGAAAGGGTTGTAAAGCATTGAAACGGTGTCTAGGGAAGTGGTGGAGTCACCATCCCTGGAAGTGTTAAAAAACCAAGTGGATATGGCACTTGAGGACATGGTTTAGTGGTGAACATGATGGTGGTGCTACATTTACGGTTGGGCTTGATGATATTAAAGGTCTTTTCTATATTGACACTAAGTTTGACAACAATCCTCAGAGAACATAAGCACAGTCAGCTTCACAGGCACAGGTAGTATCTTTTTTCACAACCAACCCATGTAAACAGGAGAAATGTAATGTGTGTATTAATCAGACTTATTTTTATGACAGATCATTGGTATCTAATCTTTCTCTTTCCAGGAAGAAAATCAGTGTCCTTCCTGTGACAATGCCACTATGACTCTGCAGCTTATTTTTCTAATTTTAGTTACTGCCTTACTGAACATTGAATTTGTGATGGTTTTAAAAACAGAGTGGGCTAAATAAAATAGAGTGGAAGAATTGTTATAAACCATAGAGACAGCCCTACATACCAACACTCCATAATAAAGAAGGTATGCTTGAAAAACTTCTGGTATAACCTCACTGATGAAAACCACAAGTTTTTCACAGAATCAGGAATTCTTAGGGTTAGGAGGGACCTCTGGAGATCCTCTAGTCCAAACTCCTGCCAAGGCAGGGTTACCTAGAGCAGGTGACACGGGAACTCATCCAGGTTGGTTTTCAATGTCTGCAGAGAGGGAGACTCCACGGCCTCCCTGGGCAGCCTGTTCCAGTGCTCTGCCACCCTCAATGGAAAGAAGTTCTTCCTCATGTTGAGGTGGAACTTCTTGCGTTTTAGTTTACGGCCACTGCTCCTCGCCGTGTCGTAGGGCACCACCGAAAAGAGTCTGGCGCCATCCTCTTGGCACCCCCACCTTTGAGATACTTACATGCTTTAATGAGATCCGCTCTCAGTCTTTCCTTCCCCAGACTAAACATCCTCTAAACACCCTCTTCACTGCGAGGGGTGGTGAGGTGCTGGCGCAGAGAAGCTGTGGATGCCCCATGCCTGGAAGCCTCCAAAGCCCAGGTCGGCCGGGCTGTGAGTCCTCTCAACCTCCTCCCTGCCCTCCCTCGCCGCTCTCCCGCCCGCCCCAGCCGGCGGCAGCTCCGGGCGGCGGCTCCTCCCCCGTGGCCGCCCGGCAGCATGGCGGCGGCGGTGGAGACCCGCAGAGTGTGCGAGACCGCCGGCTGCAGCAGCGAGGCCAAGCTCCAGTGCCCCACCTGCCTCAAGCTGGGCATCCAGGGCTCCTACTTCTGCTCCCAGGTGAGGTTCTCCCGGCCCCAGCGCCGCGCTGCCGCGCTCCGGGCGTGCGGCGGGGCGCAGGATCCAGCTCCCCGCGCCGGCTCCCGGCCGCCCGGGCCCGGCCCGGCGTGCCCGGCTCTGCCTCCCTGCCCGCCCGGGCCCGGCCAGCGCCGGGCAGGAGGGTCCGGGCAGGGACGCCGCACGAAGTTCCCCCTCGGTTCCCCGGTTGTTGGTGCCGGGGGTGCCGGGCCGGCGGCCCCGGGCGGGGCGGGAGCCCCGTCGCACCTCGTGGCCGCGGGCGATGCGGGACTCGAGCGGGCTAAAGAGCAGCCGGGGCGTTCGTGAGAGGGGGCACGTGTGTTTCTCTGCCTGGAGGTGTCTGTGGTCCCTGTGCCCCCCTTAAAAATAATGGCTTAGTGGGACAAAATGAGACGTGCTCATCAAATTCCAGCGGGTGCGTGTCTGTGTCTGCAGCAGCTCTGGCTCTGGAGTTGCTCGGCTTTGATAGACACCGGGAGACTTGTTGCTCTGAAAACAGATTTTCTTTGAATTATGAGGTTTTTTGGAAAAATTATTTTATACTCTTCCTTTTTTTCTTTAATTCCCTTTTCTTTCCTCTTTTTTTTTCTTAATATATATTTTTTGATGTTTTACTTTAAGGGTGCCTAACAAGGAGGTTCAGGTTAGGCTACATGTCATACAGCCATCAGCTCCTCCGTGTAAATTAGAGAATTAAATGTATTCTGTAGGCCTCGGCCATCCTCACCTATTACCACAGTGGTAATGGAGTGTGGTCCTTAAATAGAAAGAACTGTCTTATGACTGTTGAGTGGGGTTTTTGGTTTGTGGGTGGTATTTTCAGGGTTTTTTTATTAACTTTACAATGCTCAGTAAAATACATGATCTCATCCTTTGAACTTTATGTATGTGTAATTTCTGTCAAAATCAGCGAGGACACATGTTTAATTCAGAGATTACAGCTGACCTTGTCACAATTATAACCCAGGGTAAAATCATTGAAGTTTTGTAGATTAACATAAGAAAATCATACAGTCACATCAGCTAGATTTACTTATTTATTTGGCAGGGTTTTCTTCTGAGTTAGGGTGTAAACTGATAGTTATAGTTTGCATAGAACTAGGGGAAAACTTCCCACGTGCGTGTGACACACCCACTGCACAGTTTCTGGTACTTTCCCCTGAAGTCTCTGTGCCATATGCTGGAAATCAATGCCAAGTTACATCGACTGCAACTCAAAATTTTTCTGACGATTCTGTATCTCTAGTTCTCCTCTAGAGCTTGTAGTTGGCTTGGAGGATTTGCTCTACATTTTACTACCCATTTTGACATGTCTGATATAAAACTCATTGTAATGCATCTTCAGCATATACAAATATTAGTTGGTGATGACAAAACTATTTTTTAACAGACCAAACAGGGCAATATGAAGAGCTCTAGTTACATCTTTACTTCCTTCTTTCCCATCCCCAAATCAGCTAATGTCATATAGGATGCAGAGATTTTTGTTATCTATATACTAGGTTTAATTCTTTTGAAATATCTGCTACTGTTGTAAGCTAAAAGGGGAGTTACCTGAAATATTTATTGGCTTGTTAAAATAGGCTGCTGGATAACTGTCTATATGCTTATAAAGCTGTCCTGCCTAGAAAATAAAATATTGAACTGGGAATCCCACTTCTGAGTGACCTTGGGTGTGTTGTTCCTCCTAATTGTGCCTCGATCAGTAAAGTAGGTAAGCACATGAAAGGTGCTTTGAAGGTTTTGGGGTGATTTTTTACGGAAGAGAGAAGGGAATTAACAGCAGCCTGTTTAAAGACGGGAAAGAAGCGTCATGCAGTGCCCATGTTCCGTAGCAAGGACCCTCAGCACCTCCTTAGTACCTTCTGTGGGGCCCAGTATGGGACTGCCCCGAGATTCCAGCTCTCCTCATCTATCATCTGGTGTGTGCCGTGGAGGAGCCTTGGACAGTCCTCCACTGGTGTCTGGTGAGCACAGGCAGGAGGGGTAGGTGAGGTGCTGCTGACGACCTGGCTGCCTGCTCAGATAAGCACATGACAGGTGAAGGAGATTAAAAGCCAGGAAATTTTCTCTGAACTTCGAGCAAGTTTCAGCTGACAGTAGTGGACTGGTTATCATCTGTGAATCTTTTCCTAAGTTCTCTCTTTGGTAGTTTTCTTTCCTTTGTGGTCTTACACGCATAAATAACTGTTAGCTAAGTTAGTGAGTGGACAGACCTAGGATATTATTCCACCTCACAGCACATGCTGTTATGTAGCACCCAAGGATGCACACTTCTGTTTCTCTTAAGCTGAGCCACCTCTGGGGTTTTCAGGGTTTTCTTTTAATGGAGGACAAGCAGTTGCATTAATTCTTTTGCTGGTTTAGCTCCCCAAAGCTGTGCACCGTAGAGTCATAAAACATTTGGGGAACATGCTGCTGAAGAGTGTTGTGGCCCAATTTGGCCCAGCTGTAAAGTCAACCTGTCCTTATGGAATGCAGTGGTGTTAGTTGGGTGTGCAGGCACTTTTCTGGGCTGAGGGCAGGGTGGGAGCAAGAAGCTCCCACTGGCGTCTCCTTGAGGGGTAAAAGCATCTGTATGGACACAGGCTCTATTAATTAATTGCGTGGAAACCTACAAGGACTTTTTCATACAGTCAAAACTCCAGTCAGAGCTAAGCCCAAATTTGTAGGGGAGTTTATATTCTCCAGTGCTAAGAATAAAGAATAGGAAAGTGTGTACTGCTGTAGAAAGGTAACCAGCATGAAGCAATGTGGATTATAAGTTAGTAACGTAAGTTTGCTAAGAAAAAATAATGCAGGAAGTATAGGACTGAGAATCTCAGTGAAGTGTGGAGATTGATTAAGCATTATTTTTCATTATTGCACATAAAGAATTGAACTTTTCAAGTAGATTGCATCAAGACAATGATTTCCCCAGTGGATTTATCATTTGTGTTTCTCCTTTCCTTGAGAAAGGCTATTATTCTGGTAATTTATTTTTTCCCACCTCTCTGCATCAAAACATATGCCTCACTAACGTGCCCTGAAAATGCTCGTGCTGAAGTACTTCAGCATTCTCTGAGATTTCTTTGAGCCAACACTGTTTCTTGTCTGGCTGTGGGGTACCTCGGAAACTGAGCACAGCTGTTGAATAATAGTTGTGCTTGTGCTCATACATGGAAAGTGGGCCAAGACAGCCGGGTTCTGGCCTAGCAGAGAGGTTTTGAACTGGTAGTGGAGACAGGGTAGGGATGGCATTTAGCAGTGGAGGAACTCTGAGGTGATGTGTTGAACCTTGGCATAATTTTTTTTCTTTCGCTTCACGGTGTAACATGAGGGACTGTTCTGCTTTGGGATTCTGTCTGCTGTTAACCCTTAATAATGTTTTAGGCTAATAAATCAAGTAGTGTCACTACTGGCTACCTTCTTTCACTGTCTTGCTTTCTTTCTTTTAGGGAGCTACTGCAGTGTTGTATGTGTTCATCATCTTAGAGTTAGATAGAGTAATTCAGGCTAGCTTCTGAATGTGGAAATAACACAGATGTGCAGCATCCCGTCTCAGGCATATTGTTTCTCTTGCTAAGATGAATTTGCTATTGTGAAATCTACCTTATAGACACAGTCACTTGTGTGTAAATTGTATGTAGTATACATAAACAGTTCGTATTTAAATGGACAATTTACATTTCTTCTATGTCTCCTCCAGAAGAGGCTTAATGATAAAGAAGGGGAAAGTAGTGACTGTTCTTGAGATCTCCAGTTACCATTTTTATGCAAACCTTTTAATGGTAAATGGATCCCTTGTTAAAGATTTTGTGTTGCTTTCCTGAAAACTTCCTCTCTCATACTACTTATATCTGTGTAAGTATCTTGAACAAAACAGTAGGTTTTCTGTGGTGTGGACTGGATGCTCGTGTGACTCAAGGTCACAGTAATTTGTGAAAAATTGTGGTCCTGAAGAGAAGACTGGTGGTGTCCCATCTCCCACTTTGCTGTTTCCTTTCACCATCAGTGTGTTGGGAGTGGGAGGTGGGGAGCAGTGGACCTGGATGGAACTACTTTTTGTCCTCTGTCACATAAGTGCCATATTTCATTCTTGGTTCACTGTTCTTTGATGTGCAGAAAATAGGCTAAAACCTGCTGCTCATATCCAACTGCAACACATAGGGATTACTTCAGGTATAAATGGCACTCAGCAGATACTATCTTCTGGAAGATCTTTTGATAGATTTCCTTCATCAGGAAGTTGACATTCTTAATTGCCTATAAACCACCATGAATACCTGTGTCTGAGCTAAATGCCTGATTATTGTTGAGGCACAAAAACTGAGCTCTCATAACTTTCTGAGAGTAAAACTTCACACTCCTGTAGGCAGGCTTTCTGAGCTAGCGTTGAATATACTGAAAGGATAGTCCAGTTTGTATTTCTCTGTTCTGTTGTTCTTTCACTACTCCCAAAAATCACTCACATTAAGATCAGGTTTTAGATGAAGGAGAAAGCTGATCTGATACCAACATGCAGTGTATAGCTGCTTCCATTGAAGTTGAATCTGAAAACACATATTTGACTTTTCTGGAAAACTGACTATTCATGTATGCTGCTTAGGCTAGTTTGGAAATTTTGTACAGAGTTTTCAGGCCAGAGGCTGTTTCTGCGGGCTTGTACCGCCCTAGAAGGATTTCAGTATGCTGAAAAGAAGCAACTGTTTTATTTTAACATCAGATGTATTACCTATTGCATTCCTCGACATATTTGTATTTATGGATAAAATGTACAGTTAATTTGTATTGTGTGTTTTATAAATATATATATCAATGATAGCCTCATATTTTTCTTCAGCTAAATGCTGTACTTAAGTGGGGGTTTTTTGTCTTCTGTTTTGCATACCTTCAAGGTATTTGGTTAGAAACGAGTGAGTTCTCATTAAGCAAAACGGCATGATGTCAGATTAAGCCCAAGACAATTTTACATTC